TATCTTTGGCACATGCTAATGAACAAGTTCCAGGTTTCATGAGGCTTCAGCAATTATAGTCTTAGGAATGTTATACTAGGCAAACAGAAATGCTAACATTCAATGGATGTGAGGGTTTCACAGTGAATTTTAATTTATACAACTAACTGAACTGGCTCTGGGCATGCAATGTTTTACGGTGAAGTATTTTTTCTTTGAATGCTGAATATATTGCAACCCGATTAGACTGGGCCTTTTTATGGATACATACCAGTGCATAAAGCATTCAATAAATTCTGTAAGTGGTCCACTCCTGCACAGCAATTTTTGTGCTTCAGAGGATTATTACATTTATGTGATGTGCAGCCAGCCCCAAAGTTATTCATTTCGTCGCAGCATTCTTATCAATAAATGCATTTGCTCTCAGGAAGCCTAATCCCCACGATACCCTTCCCCTGCCAGTCCTTCGGGACACCATATTATTTCTACAATATAGCAGGGTGGGGGAGGAAAAGAGAGACAGAGAGAGAGAGAGAATCACAGTTGTGAATTATTGGTGAGACAGAGTAGCATAACAAAAGAAAAAGATTTTTACACAACATGCAGCTATCTCAACTTCACTGTCAAATACTTTAGGAGAGCAGTCACTGTTGTAGGAAGACCACTTAATGTGCACAAAAGGTTCCACGAATGGCAATGAGAATTTTTAAAAAGTCTGCTCATTTAAAAGTGATATTCTTAGAGGGATAATTGCTTTAAAAGGTCTGTCCCTGTCCCCTTCCCGCTCAGTAGGGGTCTACCAACTTAGATTAACGTGCTCAAGTCAACAGAACTTGAATCTGATACTCTGGCTCAGAACAGATGAGGCAAAGATCTTGCCAACAATCAGGACATACCACACAAACCAGGAAAGACAAGGAGTGGACAGAATGTACTTTGGCCCAAGTCTATCTACACTGTGACAGAACATTAAACACTCTACTCAGTGAGTGTTCACAAGCCTTACTGCCAAAACAAGATAGTTGATTAGGTTTATCTAGCAGGATGGGAAGACCAGGTCTGGTCCATGATATGAGTTAGTTAGCTGCTCGGTCAATCCAACTGGCCTGTTCTGTCCAATTCTCTCCTCTCAACCCAAAACCAGAGGCCCAGCTTCAGACGACTATTTGGAAAACGTTGCTGGGAGGTTTCAGATGGTTTCTGGTAATTTTGTCAGACTTTCCATGCTCTTTGCTGAAGTTCAGCTTTGAATATATGGCCACTTGGGTGGAAACAGGCAGGATGATTGGCATTTATGGATCACTGCTCTAAACATGGGGTTGGTTAGCAGTGCAGTGTGACACCACAATTGTGGGTTCAATTCCTACACTGGCTGAGGTTATGAAGGACTCTCCTTCTCAATCTCTCCCCTCGCCTGAGACGTGGTGACTCTCAGGTTAAACCACCACCAGTCATATCTCTCTCTCTCTCTCAAATGAAAGCATGGCCCTATGGTCCAATAAGACTATGGCAACTTTACCTTGACTCCAAGTAAGAGCCTCAGGATCAGAGGGAAGGGAGTGACAGAAGGTAAGAATGAAGGAAGATGCTCCTCAATTAGACACAAAGTCTAATAAAATCATTTTGACACACACTCGTAATTTTCTACATGGAGCTGAAGTGTTCAGAGTTGAACTATTTGAATTCACTGGAGATAATCCAGTGTGGTGGCTACATTTCAAAACTGTACATGCGAAGTTGGTAGAAAACAGGTCATGATGCTATAGTTATTTCATTCACAAATGGAGTGAGGCCTCAAGTAATCCCTAATAGTTAGTTACCACTCCAGGCACTTAATGACCATCTGACACAAGGTGAGCCAGGCAGCGATGGATGCAAAAGAAGTTGTGGATGCACAAGATGACAACTTACATTTTGAGGATTAGAGTTTAACGAAAGATAACTAACTCCAAGGTACCCCCACAACAGCAACAAATATCCCCCTTCATCACACAAGGTGGTCAGTCACCTGAAGAGCTTCACCAGCCCAAACTGCAGCACTTGTAGATACTTTCAGAACAGGAGACCATTCAGCCCATTGTATCCATGGTGGTCAACAAAGATCGGACTACACTAATCCCGTTTTCCAGCTCTTGGCCCATAGCCCTGGACTCTATGCCAACCCAAGTGAATACCCGAACACTGTTTAAATGTTACAAGAGTTTCTGACTCAAACCAGTCTTTCAGGCAGCGAGTTCCACTCTCTGCACCTTCAGAATCAGAGAGATTCTCCTCAATAGTGTCTTAGCCTAAAACCTTTTACCTCAAATCTATACCCCTTGATTAATGGCCCTTGTACTAACACAAACGTGCTCTCCTATCCACCTTATCTAGATCCTTCACAATCTTATACAGGTTCCCCTCTCAACCCTGGCTGCTCCAAGCAAAACAACCCCAGCCTATCCAACTTCTCCTTATAGCTCAAATCCCCCAGCCCAGGCAGCATCCTGGTAAATCCCCTCTCTGGTGCAATCACATCCTCACTGTGACATGCCAACCAGAACTGCATGCAGCATTCCAGTTTTGACCTAACCAGTGTACAATACAGTTCCAGCATAACCTCCTCGCTCTTGTATTCTAAGCTTCAGCAAGTATCCCACATCTGTCGTCTTCACCACTTTTTCTACTGCTTCTGCTACCTTCACAAATCTGTGGAGACACACTTGCAAACTGTTTGTTGGAAAGAGAGCAAAGCAATCCAATTTCAAAGGTCTGGTCATGTTCCTTTTCTTGGAAAAATAAAGCGCTCAGCAAGATAGATTAATAAGTGGAAGTAAATGTTCCAAATTTGGATTATACCTTGATAGTTAAATCACAGAGATCCCAGGGTTGTTCAGACCTCCTGTTAGCTAGTTTTCAACATTCATACCTAGTAATCACAGCTAGCTCCTGGGACTAGTCACAGGCATGAGTGGACAGAAAGCTAGAACCCTGCCAAATACAATAATGTCTAAAAGGGATTTTGCTTCTTTTTAAATAAAAAACAATAAGAAAAGTCATTATTAGTATTAAGGGCAACTTAGGTGGAGTACACAAAAAGAGAAAAACATGCTATAGCAGCTTTACAGTAGATCAGTGACACTATCAACCTGCACAAGGTAAAATGTCAGCTCTTTACAACCAGCGCAAAACCAATGGGTCAGGGGATTTTTCTTTGAAAAAGTTGTTCAGGCAGAAGTGGGAGGTTTTAAAGAATTGCTTTCCTGACTAACTTCTATCCTCCACAACTGTGTATGGACCACTTGGTGACTATCACTCAAGTTGAAGTGCTTTCTTTCCTGTAGTGGTAACCTTGATCTTGTGTTATTAAAAGCAGAACGTGCTGAATAGAACTCAGCAGGTCTGGCAGCATCTCTGGTGAGAGAAACAGAGTTAACGTTCAGAATCCAATGCAAATCTTCTTCAGAGCTGCTGAACTCGAAATGTTAACTCTGATTTTCTCTTTCCACAGATGCTGCCAGACCTGCTGAGTTTCTCCAGCATCCATAGTATTTTGACTTTGTTTTAGAGGACAAGATTTCTTTCCCAAGAGGACACTGGTCAATTGGATTCGTTGATGGGCATCGTTTCTGATATTATAGTTCAATTCCAGAACTTTTATTTTGAAAAAAAAAGTCATTCATGGAATGTGGGCACTTGTGGCTGGACCAGCGTTTATTGCTCATCCTGAATTGCCTTTTTGAACCACTGCAGCCCAATTCTAATGCCACCAGCCACTGTGGCCGTGATCTGAACCTGTGCCTTCCCCTGCCCAAACAGGAACCTGGGCTGCTGAATTATTAACCCAGTAACATGACCGCTAACCTACAATCTCCCTGAATTCTAACTGCAATCAAAACAGAATCAGTGCAAGATTTGAATTTTACAAAAAAAAAATTGACACTTTTAAACTTGTGGTTTCTTACAGTTGAACAAATTTGGAATATTCCAGCACATTAATCACATGGTCTAACCGGCCCATGCCAGTGTTCGTAAGTCAGCACAAGTTTCCTCCCATGTTATTTCATCTCATCCCATCAACATATCCTTCAATTTCTTCTTCCCTCATGTGCTTATCTGGTTTCCCTTTAAATGCATCTATGCTATCTGCACAATTCAGTTTTTAGTTTTGGTGATTAAAATATTGAGACAGGATGTTAAGGCGTATTAGATTTGGGCGCTTTTGTTTTTTTTAAGAAAGAAACCTTACATAATCAACCTCCACAAGAGGTTATTTGCATTACTAGTTTGCATACATGATTAGAGAGAAGAAAAAACAGTGATCTGGACATGAGAGATAGTAGGAACTGCAGATGCTGGAGAATCTGGAGATAACAAGGTGTAGACTTGGATGAACACAGCAGGCCAAGCAGCATCAGAGGAGCAGGAAGGCTGACGTTTCGGGCCTAGACCCTTCTTCAGACCTTTTTCTGAAGAAGGGTCT